GGATTTCTCAGTGACGGCTCCTGATTTCTCTGTCTTGGCATTGCTTGCTGGTGAGGTTTGCTCCCGCTGCTCGAAATCCGAGGCATACTCTGATTGTTCAGTCTGAGCCTTGCTTGCAGGAGACAAACCAGTTCCACCAGATTTCTCTGTACCTGCGCCCGATTTGTCGGTCTTGGCATTGCTTGTAGGTGTGGCCGCGTCAACGCCGGATCCTTCCGTGTTGGCAGATGCACCCGAAGCCCTTGACCTTGCTTTGGCACTGTTCGTGGGTGTCGTCTCAAACTCCTGCGCAGCACGGCTAGCTGTGGCCATCTACATATATATATATATTATACAGTATATATGTGTGGCCCTTCTTAGGGAAACACCATTCTTCAAAAAAGAAACGAACTTACTTTCACGAATTCTTGACGAACTCCATGTTCAACTCTCGTCGGGGTATATGCTAGAAGTCTAATTGGTTTGGTTGTGGCTATACCTTCCGCAGATCTTTCGCAGCAAAAATGTTTACTCACAAACTCAAAAAAAACAAACTGTTGTGTACCGCGAACCACATAAGAGGCTCTCAATGAACCGATAGGCCTTGTGTTTAACTATACCCATGTAATCCTATGTATACAGTGACGAAATGTGATGAAGTTCATGAAGGATCAAGCTGAGCCCCACTATTGAAGAACATCCTACGCCTCGATCCACAGATTGCCCCTTTTCTTTACAGTTCAAAGAGCCAAAATTAGCATGGGTCCTTAGATGTCCTTAGACTTCCCATCCTCGATGGGGACCAACTCAAATCACCAGATCCCTCTAGCAAATGTTCCATGAAGTCAGCTATCTTGGTCACAGAACTGTGACCTGGTAGAATCCAAACAAGTTGTTTCTCAGGAGATCCAACGTACTTTGTGCATTGCAAAACCTCGATCCAATCGATTTGATTGGTGAAGATGCAAATCCACATCCTCAAGACCATCCTTCACGCTCCAAAGAGCTACCAAATCCAGTGCCCAAACCGGCGACGCGAAACTCCAGTGACCACGGATCGATCGCGCGTCCAAAAACCTCGCCCCCAGGTGTGTTCACTGTAGAATGGCCATGGACCAGGACCTTCCATGGCCGTTTTTGGACACCCCGAATCACCTCTTTACGAGGCTATAGTCCATTAGACACCTCAAACGGAAGGTCCTGAGAATAGGTCAGCTGATATTTGAGTGGTAGAGTAGACTTCGTTACTGCAACTGTCTGTGTCCGTAGCTTTCGTCGATCCCGTGAGAGGAAAGATGGCAACACAAAGAAAAGCAACCTTGCTTAGCTGGAAGTCCCACCAATCCAAAATCATCCATAGTCTCACCCTGAAACCCCTTGGAACAGCTTGTATAAGTACTTCTCAAGCCAAACAACATGAAATAGCACGTCATACACCATATTATACCTTCTCCACCGGCGTTTCCTGCTAGCTCCGCGAACGGAACCGTCCTTCACCTCCTTCCCCGTCGGTGAAAACGCCTCGGCCGCTGGCCGCTGGCCGGGGGGGCGCCGGTCGTTCTCTGCTTCTAAGCATTGGATTCTCCCAGGACTCCCAGGTCTTCCTTTTTGCAAAGGATTGGTTCTTCCATGCCCCAGGTCTTCCAGAAGAGACTCCCAGAAGCTTCTCCCTTGCTTCTCCCAGCATTGGGTAGGTCTTACCAAGCCTTCTTCCCAGGTCGTCCGCATGGATACATGCCCCCCCGGACACCGATTCCGGGCATGTCTGGGCAAAACTTGGGCCGGATCCCTTCAGAGTCCGACACTCACCCGGGTGGTCGGATTGGATTCTGCTGCCTCAACGCGCGCCAGACCAGTTTGCGCGCGTCCTCTGGCGCCGTATGATTCGTCCCCACCCACCACGGCTGTCGGAATACGCCGGTGTCGATCGCCAGCGCGATCGCCCCAGGCGACGGACAACACCCAACACGACCGAACATCTGGGACAAACGCAGAAATCTCGAAGAAGAAGCATCGACGGGAACACACCAAAACCATCAAACCACCGTCTTTTTTGAGTGCCAAGTGGTGCAATTGTGTGATCTGGCGATGGATGGCGATCACACTCGTTCTATGAGTTCGCTGCTAATAAGCAGCTGGCCTGTAGTCCACAGGCAAGGCCACATGCTTCTCCCATTCATACCTTAATGTACCATCCTTCGAGTTGGGAAAATGGAGCCAGGTCGGTTACTAATTAAGTTTGTGTAGTGTGTGTCCTTCGACTTTGGGCCCAAAAAACGCTGCTGGCCACATCCCGATCTAGTAGATATTGTCTGATCAAAGAAAGCAGTAACGAAACAGAACCAGAACTCTACCACATATCGATATATACCATGATTAAAAATATATAAAAATAAGCATGTCATATATCTGCAATTCTTCGTAGTCTCCCAGAAAAGCACCCTGCTCTTCTTCCCACCACTCTCCGACCTCTCCGTCTTCTCCCAGCGGCGACGGACTTCTCCGTCTTCGCCGAGCGCGCCGAGGTGGGCGACCGCGAACTGGGACTCGCTGGTGCCGGTGCAAGGCCTGAGTGGGCGCCAGAAGAAGTGAGGCACTGTCATAGGAGAAGCCATCCCAGACACTGGTGGTGCCAGGGCATATATGGCCTGGCAGTCCCAGACAGGTCGTGTCGCATGTATTCCCTGAGGCCGCACGGAGAAGCACGGAGTCTTGGCTTCCCACTGATGCCACAGACCGACAGGGGCGATCGACCGGTATCGCAGACTGTTCGGGCAGACGGGAAAACGCAAGTGCGGTTGGTTTGGTGCCAAAGCCGGGGGTGAACTAGAGTGAAAAATCACCTAGGCAAGTGCAAACTGGACATGAAACCTTTTTGTGTTCAAAGCCGGGTGAAGTATCCCAGACACTCCATGGGGCTGCCATATATGCCGATCAATTGGGGTGGTTTGGCGGGTCAATATAGGCATATATGGCATATCTGGAGTGTCTGGGTTTAGTTCAAGAGGATCAAGACCCGGTGGTGCCAACGAAGCCCACGGGTTCTTCCGAAGCCCACGGGTCGAACGGCAGCCCGTGGGCAGCCCGTGGGAGACAGGTGTTTCTCATCGCTTCATATCTAGCTCGATCCTATTCCCAAAAAAAGGGTTGGAAGGTGGAGTTCAACTGGGCAATGCTTAGTGACTGCTTTTCTGGCATGAAGCTTCCTTAGAATTTCTTTGAGGGGGAGAAAAGAAATGATCCGAGCACCTAGGTGGCAATGCCATAATAATTGGAAACATTATTTCCGTTGGTGGAAACCTTGGCCCAAACCATCTCCAAACCATCTCGTTGCTATGACGAGCGGTACCGGTCGAAGCATCTCCGATCCAGGATCGTGCTATGCTTGCTGTGCTTTCTCCTCCAAAACGGTCTTGTCGAAATACCCAACAAACGAGCATGGTGTCTCCAAACGAGCATGGTTCGTCTACAGAAAAACACGCCTTGTCTGGGTCCTCTCAGGGTGGTTTGGAAGGTTCAGTCATTTTAGCTTAATACTTAACATGAAACAATTTTCCAACATGATGACTCTATGATGACTATACACCACATTTGAACTTACCCCAACTGGTATCAGCAGCAGCAGCAGCAGCAGGGCCAACAAATCAGCCAAGTTGCCTCTCCCCGATGGTTTTGAACGCTTGGTCGAATCTGTCTTCCTTGCAACTGCGTAGCTTGCAGACGCGGCTTGCCATGTGAATGAACGCAATAAATTTGGATTTGCTAAGATGGTGCTCCATATATGTATACTCAGCGAGGAGATGTCCCCAACCGGAAACCAAATACCTTCAACTGTGGATCTCGGCAAGCGTACTAGTCCCACCATTCTTTGGTAAATGCATGCAATTCCTTACAACCACTCATCGCCGCACAACGTGCGGTGATAGTTGTGGTTTGTTAGTGAAGACCCAAGGTTTTGCCCTTGACCTTGCATTGTCTTTTGACGAATCGTTTGGTGTCCAAGAGAATCAGGAATGGTGCTGCAGAACTATCCCATCCCTCTGTATCCTCTGTACAGCTTTGGTTTTTGAGATGCAAAGTAGGGCGTGGTGCTTAGAATAGGGGGACCTCCCAGGCAACGACCTCCTGGAAGAAGGGAAATAGACCAAAATGCCTTGGGCCAGGGAGTCTCCTTCCCTCTCTTGCCGTGTCGGAATCGTCTCCCAAGTCGATGGCAGAACGACGGTACGACGAACGGCACGGTGTTCGGTGTGAAGCCCCACACGCCCGAAACGAGTTCGTCCCAATGATGAAACGAGTTTTTTCTCGAAACCTCGACTTCCCTGTCTTTCGGCCCCATTGGAAACTGCAAGCATGTCTCAATCTAACCTGTCTTTCGGCCCCTGAGAATCCCATTTCACTTACCAACGAGCCCCCCCATCTGGGTCGAACCCCGGTGTTTCTGTTCAGTCTCAGGTATTGGGTGCCAACGAGTGGTTTCACCAGTCTCAAAATCCACCAAACCAGGCCTTTCTCTGGTGATTTGCTTGTTTGCCGACTGTTACAGGTTTACTCGGACCGACTCCGGTGGGAAGACGTGTCTTCATGTGCCTCACATGTGCAGCAAAGCATCGCTTCCGCCGCTTCCAGCTTCGCCTTGGCCGCGCGCTCAGCATTGGCCAAAGCCTTGAGGCCTTGGAGAGTGATGTTGTCTGGAAAGATCTCCGTGATTTGTGGTGGGAAAAATGGCATTATAATATGATATACATATCACAGTATATGATGTATATATAATATATGATGTATAATGTATATATAATATGTCTAGTCTATACAGAATACATCAGAAAACAAAGAGGAAGGACAATAACCTTCCATTAGCAGGTTTCTTTCATATGAACGGAATAGGATCTTGACTTGTCATGCTTCAGAAATCACTCATCCGTGACGGACAGGTGTTGAGTGAACCACGATGTGTGATCTTCCGTGCGTATCGGCGTTTGGTGCACATGGTGTTAACTGAGTATAGAATGGACTTCAATTGGTTTGGTTCTGGCCAGGATTGGATGGTCGTGGTCAGGATGTTCGAGTGACCTGAGATCGGGATGTTTGCTCGGGCACCATTTTTTTTTCCTGTCTTTCATGAAACCTTTAGCGAAAGACCATCAGGCTTGTCCATCAATCATTGCCTTTGATCTCCAAAATTGGTCAGGAGCATGTCAGGAGCATATATGAGCATATGCTGGTCAAGTAGTAACTGTTGATGAACACAACCCTCCGTCGAATGGCTCAGAATGGCCTGGAGAGTTGAATGAAATATCCAACAAAAAGGTGAAGGATATCTACTCAGGATGGGTCTATGTCTATAGATCCATGTAGATTAATATATTGGAAGCCATCGCTACTAGGCTGGAGGCCACTGCTATTAGGTTGGAGGCCATTGCTATTAGGTTGGAGGCCAACGATATTTATTAGGGCGGCTGGAGGCC